ATCTTAGTATGTATCAATGATAATCTTAAGGGAATTCTATCTCCAACTCTATTAATTTTTACAACATTATCTTTCAAACTCTTATCTATAATTACACCTACACCATTTTTAGTGCGACTCTTACCAGAATACCAAAGTTTAAAACCTAAATTATCAATCTCCTTAGCCTTTTCTCTGACCCACTTAATTTCTTGAATACATAAGATATTAATTTTCTTGTGAAACATAATAACAACTAATTCCAAAAAATGTTTGGGGCCACTCTATTTTTAGTTTGGAAGATCTGCGTACATACCACTTAAATCCTATATATTTATATATCTAACTCCTAAACATCAATTTTTACAAAAATGTCTATGCATGAAAATCTATATTTCACATTTTAAAAATCAAAATATTGGTATTTTTTATGTGATATGAAAGAATTGGGTGGTATAAATGTAAAAAGCAATATTTAGGAGTTTGATACGTAAATACATAGGGATTGGGTGGTATGTATGTGAACGCCTCCTCAAAAAGTTGATGCCAAACAAGCCCTAGTTATTCTCTCCATTTTCCCGCCGTTTACGGCCGCTAATCTTTTTACTGTCTTTGATGTGCAGATATTCATCATAATGTCTTGTTTGATTGCTGTGTCAGTGAACTTCAGCACATTCTTAGTAATTGGGACTACATCTCCTGTAACTTATCAGGTGCTTGGTCACCTGAAAACCTGCCTCGTGCTCTCCTTTGGCTACACCCTCCTCCATGATCCCTTCACAACCAGGAACATCATCGGAATTCTCGTAGCCATCTTCGGCATGGCGCTCTATTCTTATTTCTGTGTCCACGATGGTAAAAAGAAGGTGCCACTCAACACGCTGCCTGCGTCACAGGTATCATTGTTCGATAAATGTAGCTTGGTATTGTATTTTTTTACGTGATATGAAAGATTTGGGCGTTGTAAATGTAAATGGTAAAACTTAGTTGTTAGATATGTAAATACACAAGATTTGGGCGGTATGCATGTAAATGACATGGTTGTGCTTTCATGATTTTGTGGTTACAGATAAGAGATGAAGAATTTCCACTTCTAGTATCCAATGGTGGGGAGCATCATCAGGATAAAGAGAACAATGAGAACAAGAAACCTAATGGGGTTCTCTCACCCAATAAGAACTCTCTTGCCTAAAATTTATACCTTATTGCCATTTTTTTAAGTAATTTTGAGGCTTTCAAAGCTTCAATTTTTTATAATTTCATGTAATTTTTTAATTGCTGGATGCAATGTATATGGTTTTGCTTGTTAGAATAATTAGCCATTGAGATGCCTTGTGGCTGCCAATCAAATCAGCAGCAGTTTGAAATGAAATCTACAAATTATGTTGCTAGTTTTTTATGTTTGTTTGTATCATGTTCAGTGGTATTTGATGTATTTATGATCATAATTTCAAAGAGTTGACAATCATTGCTTTCAAGAGGAAAGGGCGAGATTTTCTTACAGACCACTTTATTCTTATGTATTGACAAATCTTTTTTTTTTTTTTTTACCTCTCCTATATTTTTTATGTTAAAATCCATTGACAATTGTCTCTTCAAATAATTAATTTTTTGCATGTTTATCTTATAGTCTAATTATGCCCATTTATTAAATTTAAGTGTGCTGCCTAATTAATAATTTAGTTATATTGTTGAATAACATATGATACTTGAAATTAAACACAAATATTGTAAAATTAATTATTTATTGAAATGGATTTTATCAGAATATTGAGATAAAATATTTTTAGAGTTAAGAAAACTAATAGAAAAAAGTAGGAAAAAATAAATGAAATTTGCTATATCTAGGTTTGTTTCTTCCTCTCTCTTCTTACAAGTGCCAAATAATTTTTATGTATTTAAGTGTCTATGGGTGGAAAAATGTATTTCAATTTTAAAAGAAGGGTGATAATCATATTTTGAATGATATTATAAATAAGAATTGTACATATATATTATTTTTGAAAAGCTTCGTTTTATTTTCAATTAATATGTTGTGAGCTCATTTATTTTTTAACGAAAATAAGATTGTTGCGTGGAGGCTCCATCTATCTGTAGGTTGGCGTGCATCAATGTTGACAATTTGTTGCACGACCAAGGATTAGAGTGTCAGGGAGCTTGAGTGAGAAAAAAAATAGATAAAAAAAGAAAAATAAAATAGCACAGGTGGACTTGCCTCGTAAGAGCACAGCGGGAAATTTCAGGCTCTTTGACCACCTTTATATATACAAGATAACGATTACATTGAGAAGGAAAGAGAGTTCTTCCTACATGAGAAAAGTCAAGAGAGAATAGCTCATCTTTTATATATCATAGACTCCCTATTTATATGAGAAAAATGAATCAAGTCTACATGCTTGCTCTCTGCTTTAATAGAAAAGTAACAAGTCTTTATAGTGCATTTTATAACCAATTTTTGACACTTTTTCAGCATCAATCTTTTTATCTGGATCATTTGATTGTCTTGAGATTTGTGTTGAGCATTTTTGGATGTTCACAATTAAATAAATTCCTATCAAAGTTGAGGCCTTAAAATTGAAATAGGGGGTTCTTTTCAACCAAAAGGCTAGTTAAATATCTTATTTAAATTCCAACTTCTTTAGATATATCAATAAAATTGTAAAAAACTTAGATCGAAATAATATATAATTTTTAGTAGACTGAATTTTAATTTTATATAATTTATTTTAAGAGAATGCAATACATTTTTTTAAAAAAATATATTTCATATACCAAAAACCAATGTTTTGTGGAGCAAGATACACATGAGTATAATAGGCCCATCTAACTTAAGGATATAACTATCACTATGATTGTCTGTTGAGGTAACTTGCTGACCTTAGTAATTGAAGTGCAAGTAGTCCCGTGTCATATGCCGAGCCAACTTGTCGAGCTAGCCCGCCGAACTAATCTACCGAGTTTATCAAGCAGGTCAATTGATTAGCTTCTTCTACCAATTTCACCTAATCGATGGTCCTCAAAATTGACAAAACACAAAAGTTAAGATCGGTAGCTGGGATAGACATATGTTATGTCATCATTTATGGGTTGCTTGACAAACGCATCCAGATACCTTGGATAGACTTCAGAACTACAACCCATATTTTAATATTTTCTTAAAACTGGAATAAAGAAAGAATATAGTCCATAGAGCAGGTGAATTCCGTCCTTTTTCCTCTCTCCCCATTTCATTCAGGCATTTTAGGTTGGGTAGAGATCCCATAATGTAACTCTTGGGGATCTTTCATTTTTCTCTCTCAATCTTTTTGGTTCATTAGATCATTAGGGGTTGTCTTATGGGCATATTTATGCTCTTATTTCACATTCATTACACAGGTTCTCTCAAGTTATATCAACTCATGAACAATACGGGACCCTATCCCCTAAAATAATTCAACACGTTTATTTCAAAATAATTATAAGGATTTTAAGTTACCATTGATTGAACTTTTAATTTATTAGATATCATAAAATTAATATTTTCTTACGTATATTATACATAAACATTTATATTTATTCATCTAATACCTTTAATTAATATTAATTTAATAAAAATAGAATGTATTTTTAATGTATCAAAAATATTATGTATATTGATTTGTTGACAGTATAATATATTTCCTTATATTATACATTTTAGTGCAATTTAGGTATAAAAGTATTATATTAATAAAATTTACTAAAAATATAGACTATAACAGTTAAGTTCATCGGGACACCTTTTCTCCCTGCGCTCCTCCCTCGGTTGGCTCTCTCGAAACACCTCGTCGTTCGAACAGCTAAGAAAGAGAGCGAGAGGGAAACAAATCAGATGGAGCGGAGAGACGCGGGGGGAGAGATTTCCGGGGTTTATTTACTCTCTTTTTCTCTCAATTTCATCATCTTTTCATTATTTTCAGCGCTGGCTCAAAGTAGGGAGGAAGAGGGAGGAAGCGGGGTTTGCTTCTATACCTCTGATTCCGACCACTGGGGTCAGAGGATCGCCCATTCCATTTCTTCTCAAGTATCCGTGTTGAATGCCTTTTGCAGGTTACATTTTGGCTGGACATTGTTTTGATTCCGATTATTGGATCGTCAACGTTTTCTTCTTCTTTATCTTCTTCTGCTGAGAGAGATTCTCAGCAGAAGAAGAAGAAACAAGGCAATTTGAGTACTTATTTAATGGATTTGGAGTTCTTGTGAGAGGAAGGAAAGGTTCGTCCCAAGAGACTCGCCGGAAGAGCAGAGAATGGAGGGCTGGTTGTATCTAATCCGGTCAAATCGAATCGGCCTGCAGTATTCTAGGAAAAGATATTTTGTCCTGAAGGAGAACCTCCTCAATTGCTTTAAGAACATACCCAAATCAAATAGAGAGGTAGGTTTATCTATCTGCTCCTTTGACTATGTCGGTTTGCTTTTTCTTTGATTGTGAGAGGCTGGGATTTTTTATTGGAAGATTTACATACATACCACTCAAGTCTTATGTATTTACATATTTTATTTGTAAGCTTCAGTTTTCACATATACATATATGCTGCCCTATATATGCATTATAAAGGTGTATTTTACTTTTTAATTGTTAAAACAATGGTAATTTTGATGTGATATGAAAGATTTGGGTGCTATTAATGTAAAAAGTAAAGTTTAGGTGTTAGATATGAAAATAAATATGAATCTTGTGGCATGTATGCATTTTTGGAGAGTGCAAATATAAATATTCTATGAAAATGCAAGAACTAGAGTTTCTTTACCTTTTGCTTCTTTTGATAAATTTATCTTATTATTATCTAATTATTATTATGTATGGTTGATGCACGTACTATTATCTAATGTTTGGGAATTTTACATACATGTCACACAATTATCATATTTTACATATTTGACGCCTAAAATTTGATGTTTACACTTATACCACTTTGATGTCGCAAATCAATGTATAAAATCGTGTATTTCACATTAAAAACTTAGTAATTGTGCTATTTTTGATGTGATTTAAAGATTTGTGTAATGCATGTGAATATGAAAGTTTGAGTGCTACTTATGTAAATACATATGAACTATGTGGAATGTATTTAAATGTCCATATTATTTTTGGTCGTCATCTTTGGTATTGAATGGAAATATGTTGCGCATTTATCTGTGGCATGGTGATTGAGGATGTAGTTTACCACCTTGAGGTTGCGGGTTTGAATCACTCATACCACCCTTTGGGCTCATTTTTCCTGAAAAAAATGGAAACATCTTTATATAAATGATGACTTAAAGAAAATAAAATGCAAAATTCTAGTTATTAATTTCAGCATTCTTTGGATTCCATATGGAGTTTTAACAGAGGAAAAAAAAGAAAAATGGGATTAAGGTAGAGGTAAACCTTGGAAGACTTGGGCTTTTTGTATAAAAAAATGTTCTTAATTTATTAAAACTAAATGAAAATATGACACTAAATAGGACGCAATGGAGAAAAATGATTCGAGTAGCCGAACCCACGTAGTAAGATTAAGACTTTGTTGTTGCTGTTGAAAAAAAGAAAAATGGAGCATGATTGTGCTACAAATGATATTTTTATTGGACGTAATTGTAAATATGCTTAAAGACTATAAGATCATAGAGTATAAACCGACTCCAATGCCAAAATAGGGATAAGGAGCATTGAATGAGGAAGATTGTACTTCGGCTCCTCCTTTTATAATTAAGTTATCTCTTTTATTTCAATTACAAAACAGCAACACTAACAAGAACAACTAGCCTTTATCCCATTAAGTTGGGTCAACTACATAAATCCTTTTTCTCCATATTTTCCTATTGAGTATCATATTTTTATTTAATTCTAATGAATTAAGATCATTTTTTATACAATATGCCCAATTCTTTATAGGTCCACCTACCTTTCTTAACATAAGTCGAATCTAAAACATCTACTCTCCTAATCGGATCATCAGATCGGCGTATAATGTGACCAAATCATCTGAGACGATTCTCTAATCTTTTATTTTATTTAAATTAGAAAAAACTAAAGGCTTATCCTTTTAGGACATTGCTCACCACATTCATAGTGTATTCCTCAAAGGTTGCTCAAGTCCCTCTTGTGGCAACAAATACTATGAGATGTTTTACTATGTTGACCTGGTTGCACCTAAATGATTTTCCTTTATACTTAAGTCAAATCTAAAACCTCTACTCTCCTAACCTTATCATCAGATGGTCAACGTTTAATGTGACCAAACCATCTAAAACAACTCTCTATAATCCTGCCTTTTATTTCAATTAGAAAAACCTAAAAGCTTTTTCCTTAAGGACATTGCTCACCACATTCTAGTTTAATCCTCAAAGGCTGTTCAAGTCCCTCTCGTGGCCACAACTACTATGAGTTGTTTTACTGTGCTGACCTAGTTTAATTCCTTGTAGAGTAATCAAAGCACAACAATTTTCTAATCTTTGATTCCGAAGCTCTAGGATTTGTGTGCTCTCTTTTAGTCTCTCAGACAACAAGTTTTAGCATGTACATACAATAGCAATTTATGCAACTCAATAACATGATGTAAAAATTAAAGTTTAGATGTTAGATATGTAAGTACATAGGGTATGTATGTAAATCTTCCAGTTATTTGTTCTATTGTTTTCGTTGCTTCTATTCTCAGTCTAGTTAGTGCTTCATTTGCTATTTATTCTTTTTTCAGGAGCCTCTAAAAACTGCGTTGATTGATTCCTACATACGGGTCACTGACAATGGAAGAGAGAGCTTCCATAGAAATGTAAGATTACCTATTTACGATATTCTTATCTGGACATTTATTGTACTATCTTTGTATGTTACAGGAGCTTCATATTAGCTTCTATAATGAGCTTATGTTATTTATTGTGCTTTTGACATGCAATTTCAGGTTTTCTACATTTTTACACTCTATAATTCTTCTAATCACAATGATCAACTTAAGGTGAGGCTCAATTTGATTTTACAAACTTACTACAACCGACCTGATGCTTCCATAACAAACGTAATCCTTAACTTAGTACTTAAATTTTGCTTGAAAATTTGTAGCTGGGAGCTAGAAGCTCAGAAGAAGCAGCTAAGTGGATCCAATCGTTAAAAGAAGCAGCAATGAAGGTTTTGCTCCCATGCTTTGATTAATTTGTTCGACTAATCTGGCATTATTACATCATTTTATCGTGGCAGGAATGCCCAAGTGATGGAGCGAAGCCTGTTCAATGCTCGAAGTCAAGGCGTCATTCATTTAGGTTGTATATTGTCGCTTTTCTACTTGAACGATGGAAGCGATGGGATATTTACATAAACACCCCTCTGTTCCTTTGTTTTTACATGTCTAACACCTAAACTTCAATTTTTACATACATTCCACCTTACCTATTGTCGGTCAACTTTTTGATGATTTGAAAATTTAATTTAGATATAAGTTATATAGTTTAAATTATGAAAGTAGTGTTTTAATTTTTTAGAAAATGAGACCGAATGAATCTCATTAGTCCAATAATTTGCATAATCGTGCCTGACACCCTGAATACTTCACGTTCCAAGAGAAAAGTGTAGACCCCGGTAATAGGTCCGATCCTGCAAACTAAGAGATTTGTGACTTCCATTTGGTCTGCGAACATTTTATATGTGACCGACAAATTCCTCTATTTAATACAAAAATTAAATAGGGTTTATTTTACCTGGATTTTACCTGGTTATTTTACCTGGGTTCCAAGTTCCCTATATAGGCAAACCCCTATAGTTAATTACATCCCAAGTGACTGGAATCACTTGAGAAAACTATCAATAATGATCAGTGGTTCTAGTTTTCAAGAATTCAAATTTAAGATTTTCAAGGTATGACGTGGAAAAACAAGTGAGAATGACTCAAGTAAGAACAATCCTTTCAGGAGTCCAAAAAAAGTAAAAGGTAGGAGATGTCACAGATTCAGAGGGGAATCCTCAGTGACTTCCCAAACTATCATAATGTGTGGCTGTGTTTTAGAGAGGATTTTATTTGAATGTTGAATCCTGTTAATTTTATTATTTGAGACATACATTTGCATAATAACTGGTTATGCAAATAGCCCGCAGAGGTAAGAGGTTTTACGTCGTTCTGGATGACAACCTCGGAACCTAAGGCGAGTTAAGACTTACGCTGCACAACATGGTTGTGTAGGGGCCTAAAAGAGGGTGAAGTTTTACGTCGCTCTAGGCGAGGTACCTCGAAGTTATATGAGTTGTTTAAACTAGGAAAGTTTAGTTGTTGTAGACTCATTTTGCTGTTGTAGAATGACAATCACCTCCACCTGTAGTCCGCTTCAAACTTCTTGCCCTGATGCCCACGAAGTTGCTCCGAGTTCCTTGTTGAAGTAACAGTCCTAAAGTCTAAAGTTCAAACAGTTTTACCAGGTGTGTCTCAATGTCTCAGTTTGTTTGTCATTGGGAGGGGTTCAAGTTGATTAGAGCGACACCAGTTAGGATCTCATGGTTCCCTCGTTCTGGTATCACTATTTTTTTTGAACTTATTTAGTTTAAACGAGTTGTGAAACCCATTTAAACCGGGGAGATCTCCTTAGCAACCGTGGGTTACCTCCTCCGAGGGACTCCCGTAAGTTCGAAAGAACGTGTTATGTTTTGTTTTTTTTTTGTTTTGAAAATGTTATTTAATTTTGAAAAATCGTTTTGTTTTAAAAGTGAGATTGTATTCAGTACCTGCATAATGTGTTAGAGCAAGAGTAATTGTAATAAAGATAACAACAAATAAAATGTACATGCGTACGTGGCGTATCTGCTGCTGCTATTCCTGTTGCATGTTTAACTCACAAAGCACAATATAATTTGCAGAGAATTTAAATAAATTGCAGAGAAAAGAAAAAAAAACAATAAACAGTAGAACAAGTTGTAGCAATAACAAAGAACTCAAAAGAGGTGATCCTAAGGCCTCCTACAACTCATGACTGCAACTAGCGAGCTAGTATGGTGATCCTACGATCTCCTACGGCTCCGAGAAACAACTAACAAGTGTGTACGGTGATCCTACGACTCCGGACAACAGCTAGAAATTTCGAATAACATCTGTATGAGTTCCTATGAACCCAAACAACAATGGGCAATACCTATGCGGCTTCCTACGAACCCGAACAGAGGTGGGCAGCAACTAGATGACTTCTAGACGATAGTGGACAACTACTAGGTGGTTTCCTATGAAACTAAATTGTGGTGGAAAATTTCTAGGTGGCTTCCTACGAACCCAAATCGTGGTGGGCAGCAACTAGACGGTTTCCTACGACACTGGACAACAAATAGAAGCATTGGACAGCGGTCTTACAATTCTTACAGCTCGGGGCAGCAACTAGCAGGCTTGTACGGCGATCCTACGGCACTGGGCAACAAATAGAAGCATTGGACAGCGGTCCTACAGCTCTTACAGCTCGGGGCAGCAACTAGCAGGCTTGTACGGCGATCCTACGACCTCCTAACACTCCAAACATCAACTAAATGACATCCAAACACTCCAAACAACAACTATATGGCCTCCAAACATTCCAAACAGCAACTATATGTCCTCCAAACATTCCAAACAGCAACTATATGGCATTCAAACATTCCAAACAGCAACTATATGACCTCCAAACATTCCAAACAACAACCATATGACATTCTGAATTGCTGCAAAATATTCCTTGCTGAGCTTAGGATAAGGCTTCATGGACTTTTCTCCAGGTTTTCACCCAGCAGGTGGCAAACCTCGCTCGGGCTCTCCTGCCTTCCTATATGTTTGAATCCAAGCAAGATGGGAGAGTTTACTACCAATGGAAACTCTCAAGATCTGTGTGTTTACTTCTTTTTTTTTTTAAATTCAGAGTGGCGATTAAAGAAGGCAATAATCTCCGTGGGGCAAACAAATATGAAATTTAGTGGGTAAAAAAAAACATGTTTCTTGCCAATGTACGATAGTTTGGCTTCGACCAATTCCTGATCAAAAACTGCTTTTATCTAAAAAAAATGCGAGATTCCCAACTAATGGAATTTTTTTTTTCTTAGAACCTGAAAAGATTCCCTTCAACAAGCAATGTTTCCAACTATAAAAGGTGTCAAATTACTTGATTTGCTTACTCCATCATAAGGTGAATACTGGGTCAAAACAAAGATAGCAATAGAAGCCACAAAGTCACAGAAAAATACATTATAATGAACAACGAGAGTGACTGCAAAGAGAAAGACCTTAGAATATATCAAGAAATCAACAATGAAGGCCTCCCAAACAATGGAAATCCGACAACAGTAGAAGGTATACCTAAGTAATTCTCAAAAGAATAACAACATCTCAAAGATTAAAACAGGTAATGGATTGAGATCAGTACCTCCAAATCTTACCGATAACACAAATCCAAGTAAGCAAGTAAGCAGAGGATTTCGGTACAGGAGGACGGGCGAGATCAAATGCTCTGCTGTGAAAGGAGGCTGAACGGGACTCCTTCTGCGCGAAGAAGAGGGAGTCGAGCGAGAGCCTCCGTCGCAGGGAAGAGAAGCTAGCAGAGCGCGGGATTTGTCGTGAGGGAGAGAGGCAAACAGAAGTGGGGCTGTTTGGCCGAGTGAGGAAGCGAGCGCGGAAGACGCGCAGCAGGAGCGGGAGAGCCGAATGCTGCTTCTTCTGCGTTTGGAAGAGAGGAAACGAGCAGGCGAGCTTCGGGCGAGCGCGGAAGAGGCACAACAGGAGCGGGAGAGCGGAATGTTGCTTCTTCTGCGTTCGGAAGAGAGGAGACGAGCAGGCGAGCTTCAGGTGAGCCCGGAAGAGGCACAACAAGAGCAGGAGAGAGGAGCTCGGGAGAGGCGGATCGAGCCGACTACGGAGGAAGAAGGCCAACCTTCCTTTTAGAATTGGAGCGGTTACTCAAATCAATTGGCAGGGAAATAAATAGTTTCCAAATATAGGGGATGATTAATTGAAAATAATTAAAACCTGGATAATTAACTTTAATTAAGACAAAAGTTAAATAATTCGTTTGAGCTGGTGCCTAGCCCGTGTTCAGCCCGAGTCCAACCTGAATCGAATCCGAGTCGAACCTGGGCTGAGCCCGGGCCCGCGTACCGCTAAAAAAGTGCATCGATATCCTTGCTAGTTGCTTGCGCGCGAAACCATAACGATAGTCCGGACGAGTTCGCCAGCGGGCGAGTCAATTTAAGCCAAAATTGTGCGGGGTGCGATGCGTGCGCAAAAAATGCGGCGTTATCGAGCGTTCGGGTCGCCAAGGGATTTCCTAGGGGCTGCTCCTATTAATGTAGGAACTCGACTCAAAACTCAGCGTAAGGCCGAGGATTTGAGACCGCTCATGCGAAACTCGAAGGAGTGATGATGTGGCTCGAATTTTCTAAATGGTGTGGGTTCCGTACTAGTCTTCTAGGAGGGTTAAACAATAGAAGCCTAAAGCTAGACCCTAGGCTCTAAGGAGAGAAGTGACGACCTCATCCGAAAATGAGGTCAACACCTATGTATGAAAAGGTGTATTTCACTTTTTGAAAGTTAAAATTGTGTTATTTTGGAGGTGATACAAAAAATTTGTAAAAAGCAAAATTTAGGTGTTAGATATGTAAATACATAGGAACTGGGTGGTGTGTATGTAAATGCCACTTAAATGATTTAAAACCTTGTTTTTAGTTTGGTCGCTACAGTTTTGCATGATATTTATATTCTATTTACTGAAGCTAACCTTTATCCAGTTACCCTTTCATTAATTTATTAGTAGTTTTTCTATGGCATTGATGAGAAATATGCCATCAGTTCTTAATTTTTTTTTTCTGAATTGTGGACAATGCAGGTTAGTCCAAGCTAGATGTAGAAATCGCCTGCATTCCATAGGTACACTTCCCTTTCATGTATATGATCTATTGGTCCAAAAAAATGTGAATAATTGTTTGATCCCCTACTTATAATACAATAAGTTAATTACAATTTTTTACTAATAATCTATGAGCTATCCCCCTCTCTTAGCTCCATAGATGGGGAGAGTTCAGTGGCTGAATTGTATTATAGGTGAAGTCCGAGGTGGATCTCGTAACTTGTTTCTTTCGGAGTTTAATTTGCATGTTTTTACTCTTGATGTCTTAAAATTGAATTCATTCTCATCATAATGCTTGCTAGATTGGACAGTTTTCACAACTGGGTACACTAAGCGAATGACCTCCGATGTCATTGCACCATCACCATGGATAATTTTTGACTGTAAAAATGGTAAACAATATTACCTTGGTCCTTACTTTCTATTAAGACAGCCTATTTAGGATTAAGATTTAGTGCTTCTTTTGTAGGCTTGAGGCTCTTTAAAGAGGCAAAAAATGCAGCTTTTCTTGGGATGGTAATTATTTGACTCAAGCAACAGGGCCACTAATTTTTTATTTTTCTGTAGCACTAATGAATTCTTAATCCTCAGCATTGGGATGACCATCCAGCTATAATGGCTGTAGGTGTGGTTGATGCACCCTCAGAAGTCATTTTCAAGACATTGATGTCTTTTGGTCTATCGAGATCTGAGTAAGATAAATTTATGAGAATATTCCAGCTCAGTAAATTGTGCTTGCAATTTTATTTTACAAGAATTTATGCTAGCATTTTGATATCAATTTATTTTTTTTCCGATCAGGGTGAGCAATTGAACCCGTCAGTTTAGGATTCTTCACTTTGCTTCCAATCAGTGTGTTACACATTTGATCACAAAAATTATCAGTTGAGCCCATTTAGATATCAAAGTTAATTTCACATATGCTAAAAACCAAAATTGATAATTAATTTGATGGATGTATTTGTCAAATGAAGAAAATGAATTTGATTATCCATAACAGAATAAATATAATGAGGTTAGTTTTAGCTAACGTTTAGCACCATTGGTAGAATTGAGTGTTCTATCCTAATTCTTTTCCTATGAAGAAAAACTGTCATCTAGAGTTAGTCATGGAGAACCTTTTTTCATAAGCAGAAGTTATTATCTATTTATAATATTGGAGGAATTGTGATTATAATTCTTCGCAATTAAATGATAGTAAAACTTACAATAATGATAACATAAGGTAACATCAATTAGGTTAACATGTATAAAAGTTGTTGTTTGTGTGCATTAATATTTACTCTATATTTTTGTCATTTTTCATTGTGGTTGAATTAGATTTTACCTTTTTTCGATCATATTCTCGTTCAACGCAAGCTTAAAAAACTCTGCAGATGGGATTTCTGTCTAGCCTTTGGCAGCGTGGTCGAACATCTTGATGGTCATACTGATATTATTTACAAGAAATTAAATAGAGATTGGTTGCCATGGTTAGATTGCATCTTTCTCAATTTCTTCTCTCTCACACTCTGTAAATTTGCTAAAAACACCAAGATGCTTTCAGGGGGATGAAAAGAAGGGATCTACTCTTAAGACGTTACTGGAGGAGAGAAGATGATGGAACATATGGTATTGTCTTTATTACAAGGATGGATGTTGTTAAATATTCAAAGTTTCATTATTTATTAGATTATTTTAAATGTTTTTGCAGTTATAGTATACCACTCTGTTTACCATCCAGACTGTCCACCTAAGAGAGGCTATATTCGTGTCTCCCTTAAAAGTAATGTATGCTCAAATTTAAAAATTGTGTTAAACTCCAAATTAGTACCCCTTATTCTTATGTGGCTAAATTGGTCACTTGTTATCACATTTTTCCAATTAAGTTCCTCAATCGTGCAAATTTACTCTAAAATGGTCCCTTAGTAAATTTGCATAAATTGTTCACATATTATCACATTTGCCAATTAAGTCCTTCAATTATGCAAATTTACTTTAAAATGTTCCCTTGGAGACTAAACTAATATCAATTTTATGTAATCAAGGGACTAGGATGAAATCTGATTTGCATCACATTTTCTATGTGTGGGATCAATGTTATAAAATCGATGGATTGAGTTTGAGAACTGATTTGGGACTAATATGATTAGGCGCCGGCGGGCGGGCGGGGGGATTTAATCTTTAAGAAATTAAACTTTTTTTAAATAAATGACTAAATTTTTTTAGAGTCATTCAACACCTGCATAGTTTTGTATAATAAGTGAGTTTACATAGGTGGTGGATATGTCATATCTCCAGCCAACCAAGAAAAACATTCTGTTGTCAAGCACATGCTTGCAATTGATTGGAGATTTTGGAAGCCTTACTCTTTGACTTCTTCATCAAAATATATAACAATCAGGATGCTGGCAAGAGTTGCAGGTGGAGATTCAACATTATCTAATATTTTTTAATCATAAAGTCACAATTGCAAAATTGAATTCAATACATGAATAAATTCTATTTTTATTTTTTATTTCTTACAGCTTTAAGAGAATTTTTCCAAGCAAAACATGGAAACTATTTGAGCTCCAATTTCTCATCTAGTGAAAGAACAAGGGAGATACTTTCGCCCCTTCATGAAAAAGAGTATATAAAGGAGGAAGTCAAGATGGCTAGTGATAGTATTAAGGGTGATGATTCTGAGGAAGATTTACAAGTTCTTGCTTCTCCCAAACATGCCAAAATTGGTGGATCAATTGTTCAACTTAATGATGCTGTTGATGAATTTTTTGATTTGCCTGATGAATCTGATTGTGATGAATCAGAGGCTGCATGGCCTCCCAATGAGGATGCCGTATCCCAGGTAAAATTTTTAAATATTTTTCACTGTTTATGTTGATTTTCAAATGAACATCTATAATTGATAACCATATGCAAAGAAGTAAACTTTATGTCTGTGGAGAAATAACTATACTCAGCAGGGGCATTAATGTTACTATAGTCATGCCAATGGGGGGGTGAATGCTTTAAAGCTTTGTGTTAATAAACATATAAGAGGGCTTCAATTTCTGACTCAAATGAGAAGGACAAAGTATGTTTTATATTAAGGATTCATAGCCCGATTAGTGGACCAAGAAAGGAAAGGTGTAAACCCATTATAGGAGAAAACTAAAAAAAAGAGTAAACACAATATTGGGAAATGAATATGCAACATTATTCACCTTTCTATGGGAATATGTAACTATAAAATTAGGATATTTGATTTATCTTGCATCAATTTTTATTTTATTTTGTGCTTGGCTTAGGCGGTTCTGTCATATTTTGATGACTTAAAATGCTAGTTGGGACCTATTAAAATATTAGACTAATAGCGGCTTTCCCTAGCCCTTATTAATATACAAATTGTTGTATTATTTGCTTTTATTTGTTTTCATATTTTCCTTTATTTTGTTTCTATTTCTTTCCTTATGAGTGTTCCTTGTAATAGAGTTTATATACCCCTCTTTCTATTAATAAGATACGTTGTTGTACTCTAATATTTCAACATGGTATCAGAGCTGTGTTCTAGCCCTAGATCCCAGCCACCGTTGACCTTTTTTGTAGTTGTTGTTGGCCTTCTCTATAGGGTCTCCTAGGGACTCCTAGTTGTCGGCCCTTTCGGCTGAAGTCTACAATTGCCGACGCTTCCCTGGAGTTTCCTACAGATTTCGACCCTTCCTTGAAGTTTCCTGCAGCTGCCGCCCTCTGCTGCAGCCGCTGGTCCTTCACTGTTATTTCCTACAGTCGTCGACCTCCTTGGCAACCGCTGGACTCCAGTCCCCGACCTCTTCCTTGCAGGTGTAGATTCTCCCACCGACCGTCCCTGCAACTGATATTTGGCGACGTCTCGGAATTCCAACCACATCTCCTTTAGCTCAGTCGGAATCATGGCGAACTTCTCCAGCACCGAACCATCCTCAGAAAGCGTTCTTGATTCCACAGGAGGTTCGACTCCAACCTCTGTCCCGTGCAGACAGGACCATAAATCAACATGAACTTCTGGATCACAACTGACAAACTAAATGACAACAACTTTCTCTAATGGTCTCAAGCGGTCTTTATTCATCAAATGACGCATGAAATTCAGTCATCTCACAGGTTTGATCAGTGAACCTCCATACATTGGCCCAACATATGGAGCTTGAGAAATGGAGAACTCATGGTCATGTCATGGTTGATCAACTCCATAGAAGCGTCGATTGGTCATTCATATATGTTCCTCCCTTCTGCTAGTGCCCACTATATGGTAGTCTATGATACCTGCTCGGACGTAGAAAATTGTTGCAAACTCTAGGAGATGTCTAAGAAGATCCGAGAGGCAAAACAGGAATCAATGACTATGACCTAGTACTACAATGACCCGGTTGCACTATGGATGAAATGCGACCTGTACTACGACTACACTTGGGACTCTTCGGCCGACCTTTCTCTCTTCCAGAAAATTTTAGAAAAGGATTGCATGTTCCAATTCCTGCTAGGCCTCAACAAAGACCTTAACGAATTCCCTGGTCGTATTCTTGGTCTGGATCCATTGAGATTCACCGTAAAGAGAGCATGGGACTTGTCATGCTCGACACTTCCACCCCTTCAACCGAAATGTCCGCCTTGGTCTTTAATAAGTGCCCAACTCTCTTCTATGCATCTTTGGGCAAGTCACCCCACTTGTGATTACTGTACAAACCCAACCACAATTGTAACAAGTGTTGGAAGCTCCATAAAAGGTTGATACAAATCTTCGGCCAAATTCTCCGCTGCCAAGGGTTCACTACAACATCAGATTCTATTACGATTCAACCAACTCCTATCTATAACATTTCAGAAGCCTCCGACTCTCTCAAAAGTCAGATGGAGCACTTAATCAAGCTACTTGGATCAATTTGTTCTCTGCTGACCCGTTGACCTCACATGTTCTTCAAGATACAATTCCTATGACACACATCTTTTACCTCCTCTAGTCTGTTGATCATTGATTCAGATGCACTGATCACATGACTGGATGCTCGCAAGCTTTCTCGATATACTATCCATGTTCTGGAAAAGATATGGTCAGAATTGCAGATGACTCTCATAGCTCTTTTGCTGGTAAATGATATGTTATTCTAAGGACTGGTCTAAATCTGAAATTTGTGTTATACGCATCGCTGTTAAAGTGTAACTTTTTATCTGTTAGAAAGTTGACGTGACGTTTGACATTAATTGCACCGCTAATTTCTCTCCTGATGTTTATCTTTCAGGATCGTCGTTTGGGGAAGATTATCGGAACTGCTAACCTGGTAGCCGAACTCTACTACTTCCAAGAGAAAAGTACGGAGAATGAAGACATACCATCCAATAGTTGCAGTTTATTCCGAACCACTGAATGTCTTATTATGTTGTTGTTTGTCTTTTGGGTCATCATAGTTTTTAATATTTAAAACATTTGTATCCATTAATGTTTTCTAATAAAAATCTTTCTAGTTTCAATTGTGAGACGTGTTAGTTAAACATCATTAGGTTCATCACCCACCCCACACTTACATATCTTCCACTCATTTTTCACTCATTCACAATGACATATGAGGAACTCCTCTCGTACTGCCAGCTACACTAATAAACAATGGTTTCTTACTTTAATTTATGACCACATTCGGATGATGTGGGCCTATTTTTTAAAAGACAAGTTGAAAGTTATTGTCACCTTAAAGAACATTTACACCTTCATTTTGATGCGCAATTCAAAACTCGAATTCAGGTCATTTGGACTGACAATGGTCATGATTTTTTAACTCTATTTTAGGTGAATTCTTGGTGAGTAATGACATCCTCCACAATAGCTCGTGCCGAGAGGAAAAATCGACATCTCCTTGACATTGCTCTTTCTGTTATGTTTCAATCTAATGTTCCGAAGCATTTTTGGAATAATGTCATACTAACTATTACTGATACTATAAATAGGTTCACCTCTTAAATTCACAACTTCTGAACCCCCATAGGCGTCTTGATGTCTTGTTTTTTCTGCTAATGGGGTATTTTCCACTTTAGATGTCCAAATATTTGATGCATAGCCTTGTTTGGAACACTGCCCCCACTCGAAGTAAGCTTGATCTAATATCTATAAAATGTGTCTTCTTAGGGTATTCCGTCACTTAGAAAGGGCATCGATGTCTTGATTTTATCACAAACAAAATTTATGTGAGTGTTGATGTCTTATTTTTTGAAAGTGTTTCCTATTTTCCTAACATGACCTCAAGTGAGGGGCACTAAAGTTCTTGGACACTATTCCTTTTCCTATTCCTATGGATGTTCCCCCCATTGTTCCTGCCACTGAGGAATCTCCGGTTTATGTAGTTCCACCACCTCCTCCCACTCTTCGTGTCTACACTCGGTGCACTCGTTCCGATGTCTGTATTTTGGAGCGCTATCTCCTTGTTGGACCTTGAATCCACTCCTAGCGACATCTCCAGGACTACTACAAATGAGGTGAGCTTCTCGAGTAAGGTACACAACCATGCATCCTCTATCTATTCTATTGCAGAATGTCTCTTTCTACAGTTTATCGCTGACCTATAGAGCATTTGCTATAGCCCTGATGGATCGTCAGATCCCAACTATTGTTGAGGCTGCACTAGCGGATCCAGTCTGGAAAGCTGCAATAATGGAGGAGATGAATGTCCTGCGGGTGAACTATACATGGGACGTCGTATATATTCCTCGGGGTAAGAAAGAGTGGGATGCCGATATATTTTTAGCATCAAGTTCAACTCAAATGGATCTTTGAACGTGACAAGACACAGTTGGTCACCAAGGGATACTCACAGACCTACGAAATTGACTGTGAGGAGACATTTACTCTGGTGGTCAAGTTAAACTCCATTCAGGCTCTGTTTTCTGTTGCGGTGAATCTGGATTGACCCTTATTCCAGCTCGATGTCATGAACGCGTTCATGAACAAAGATCTTACAGAGGATGTATGCATGTCCCTTCCTCCTGACTTTGACTCTACTGCCTCTCAAGAGCAAATGGCCGGTTGCGAAAGTCACTCTATAGACTAAAACAATCCTCGTAGGCCTGATTTGACAAGTTCACAAAGGTAGTGGCGGGCCATGATTTTACTCAGACTCAATCAGATCACATTATCTTCTTCTGACATTCATTCACTAACCAAATTGTTATTCTTATAGTCTATGTCGACGATATTGTGCTCACAGGAAATGATTTACCGATATTGGAGTCTTTGAAAGACTTTCTAGCTATGTCTTTTGAAATGAAATGCTTGAGATCCCTCTGATACTTCTTAGGCATGAAAGTTGCCCGATCATCTCAGTGCATTTGTGTGCCTCAACACAATTATGTGATTGACCTGTTAATAGAGAACAATCTGCTTCTGTGCAAATCAGCTGCTGACCAATAGATCTCAATAAAAAAATTACCTAATCTTCCCAATGTTGTTCCTGTTAAGAAGACTTACTACCAGCGCCTTGTGGGGAACTCATGTACCCGATCCATACACGTCCCGACATATGCCACACCATTGGTATAGTGAGTCAATTCATGTATGACCCCTATGAGCACCATCTCCACACTATCTACTAGATTCTAAACCATTTAAAAGGCACACCAAGCTCAGATTTTTTTTCTCGAGCTAGACCTCTCGTTCTGTTGTTGTTCATATAGATGCTGATTGGGCCAGATCAGGCAATGATCGACGATCTATCTCCGAGTATTGCTCATTTGTGTGGGAAAATCTTATCACATGGAAAAACAAAAAGCAGTCGGTGGTTGCCCGAAGCAATACTGAAGCAAAATTCAGATCCATGACCTTGGGCTTTGTGAAGCTCTCTGGTT